AAAAAAACACGGTTCTCATTATGTTTCTGGACAGACGGCCATTAACTGTACGATTTCCAATTTTTAAAAGCGGTTTGCAGCATAAAAAAATACGTCAGCGGCGTGCTCAAAGCCAGTAAACAGCACTGAACGTGTCCCAGACCAGAACCGGATGATCAGGGAGGATTTCTCTGATCATTTTGTCTCTTTCTGTTTCATTTATTCATTTATTTTTCTCCCAGTTGGGGGGCAGATATCTCTCCATTTATTTACAATTCACCCAATTTATCCCCTTTCTCTTCCCTGTGAGCCTTTTAATGGGTAAAAATAAAGATTTGTAATAACAAAAACAATCAGATAACACCCGACTGTCTAAAATAATTAATAAGAGGTGCTCAATAACAAATAGCTGCACCAATATAATGGCAAAACCTTTAAACGAGTCTTTCCATGGAAGCATAAGGCTTCTTTTCTTTTTTTTTCTCTTCTTTTTTTTTAAGTTTCCGGCTCACCTTGCTCCTTATGCAGGAAAGAATCCCATCGACAAAAGTGGACTTGATTTTGTGAACCTGAGGAGCAACAAGGCAGCCATTTTTAAAAGTAAAACCATGTCAAATAAAAGCATAAAAGCGGTTTATTCACAAACTTTGTGTAAGCTTTAAAAGAAACAAACACCGACCGACTTTAAGAGAGTGTTTTAGATAGATAGATAGATAGATAGATAGATAGATAGATAGATAGATAGATAGATAGATAGATAGATAGATAGATAGATAGATAGATAGATAAGCCTGTGGAATAATTTCTGACCTGTCGGTGCTCCAGGATGATCTTAGGCAGAGGGTGGAGGTCCTGAAGAAGCAGCAGCTACAACCAAAGAAACAACAATATAAATACCGAGCAGGTCAAAGGTCACAGGTAGGCTGGTCCCGATCCGATATCTGGATATCCGATATTCGCAAAAAAATGCAAATCCAGACTCCAGATCCAGTTTTTTTGTTAAAGTTCGATCCCACATTAGCATTAGCATCTGTAACCCACAGGTGTGTGTCCTAACCATTAAGTTGTTATCAGAGTAAATCCCTGTTCAACATGAGTCTGACAACTAAGTAAGTAGATAAATAACTTTAAACTTTAACACGTGCTCTGATAGGCCGGGATCGGGATCGGATTGGAAGTTAAAAAAGATGGATCTGGACACCGTTTTATTTCAGAAACTAAAGGGAAAGGACACATCCGAACACCCTGGCAGGTAATAGCTTTTTTGGCTATGATCAGAACGTGGCCGCCATCTTGGATCAAGGGCAAGTCTTTCCAATGGGAAACATCAGAGAAATAAAGAGCTGGAATCAGATTTAAAATATTTTCTGTGCTTCTAAAGACAAAACATCTGGATGCTCTTGCCTGTGATGCCCAGCTGTGTACAGCTTTTAACCCTATCATGCCAAACGTGTCATATTTGATTCATACGGTTTCTGAAGTCTTTTGGATCTGAGACTTTTTGCATCATTCAGTGGTAAAAGCTTTTCTCAAACCCCTGTTGAACACATTCAGATATACCTGATAACAGCCAGTAGAAGACTACACCAACATACATTTTTGACTTATTGCACGCTAATTTGATCAAAATAATTTCAGTTTTTTTTCTTCATATGTTGTTAAGGGGCCAAAGAAAGACTTCAGAAAAAAAAAACCAATATTCTTCCTATTTTTCTTGCACGAAAATATATTTTTGACTTATTGCACGCTAATTTGATCAAAATAATTTCTGTTTTTTTCTTAATATCTTGTTGAGGGGCAAAGAAAGACTTCAGACTAAAAAAAATTCAATATTCTTCCTATTTTTCTTGGATCAGGGTTTTAAAGGGTTAACTGTGTGTTCATAAGTCTGGATTCTTCATATAAATGAGTGAATAGGACAATATAAATCCATCAGGGGGAGCTTGTGTTCCTGGATTGTGTGTGTTTTTGTTCGTGTGTGCGTTTTACTGCAGCTTCTGATGTGGACTGCTGTTGTTTGAAGGTCTTGGGCAGCTTCTTGCTCTCGCAGCGCTCGTGGAGGCGGAGCTTCTCAAACAGGACCTTCAAAACACGCGGAAAAACAAGCTATGGATGCGGAAACTATCAGAGAAGTCGCACTCGTTTCCGCTTTATGCTGCTTACCGTTCGTAGCTGAGAGCTGCTGGTCACCAGGAATATCTGTCCGGCTGCTCGATGGGCTTCCTGCTCCAGCTGTTTCATCTTAGCCTGCAACAAATATTAGCCCAGTTATTCTATTTTGACCTCAAATTCCAGGAAGGTATGGAGGGGAAAGGGGCTAGGATCAAATAAAAAATACAACTTAATGAATTTAACAAAACCCAATAAAATAATGTCATTATTTAACCCTGTAATTCCAATTGTAAATGTACAGTATATGCCAAATGCCAAATGTAAATGTATCATATTTGATAAACACGGTTTCTGAAATGTTTTGCGTCTGACTCCTTTTGCATAATTTAATGGTAAAAACTTTGCTCAAAATCCTTTTGTACACAATCAGATACACCTGATAACAGGGCGCAGAAGACTACACAAAAAAT